AGCGTCAGCATGGTTTCCTTGGCTTTTGGTCCCATTCTAATTAGAAATTCTGGATGAATACCGTCTTCGCCAGGAGACTTCTTGCACTTTAGCTGTTTTATCGCAGCATTAAGTGTGAGGTGAGGCCATCTTTCACTCCAGTTAGAATTCCACTTGCAACTTGCCGGTATTTAGGTAGATTGTACAGGGTGTAACCTGGGAATTGGTAATACTTCAGTTTATCATCCGAAATGTTAGCTTCCATAATTGTGAAAATGTCTACATCATAGGTTTGTAGGATTTTTTGTATTTGGATCTTTTTGTCCGGAGACATTCCTCCAGCATTCCACTGGAGGATCTGAAGACGTTGTGATTTGCCCTGACGAGGGCGATCTTTCTTATAGCCTTTTTTAAAGCTAATCATAATAAATCGAAGTCAAAAACGAATGTCGAGTGATAGACTTTTTTGCCGTAAGAAAATACGTTGTCCAGAGTGCACCACGTGGAGATAAGTTTATCGCGCACCCCTCATCTTAAATATTTGTCGATTTTATTCTAAATAATATAAATTGAATAGTATCATAAATCTCTCTAGGAAAGCAGTTAATCTTTTATGGATAGTACCGCCAAGTGAGGAAAATGACATTGCAAATCTGGTTTTAAGAAGCCCCAAAGGTGTTTAAAAGCGTGCTTTTAACATTGCTCTCCCAACAGTTTTGCAAAAGTATACCCTCCACCTTCATCATCCTTTACTTTTGTTTTTGAATTACTAAACATATCATTGAATAATTTTGTAAAAATCAGCTGTTTTTTACTTCCATAGACTGGATTTATGGGAGGTGGTATATTATCTTTCGTTTGTCCAATTGACATTTATTTTATGTTCTTTAATGGCCTTTTGCTTTAGAACAAATAACCAGTTGTGTGAAACATAAGAAACGAAGAGAAGCATGTGTCTCAGTATGTGTGATGACAAAATGAATGGTAGACTTTTTTATCAATCGTGTATTTTTTCAAAAAATAAGCACTCCTCCTTTTAGCATTGAGATAAATGATTTACTGGCTTGCAAAATTCGTGAAGATATCTCCCACGACATCGATTGTTATATAAACATTATCTTTTTAACTCTGCAGGGAATTTACTAAATAGAAATCAGAAGATAGTCACCAGGTTCTTGGATTTAAGGGTTTCCGAACACTGTACCTTTAACCAATAAAATTTTCCTTTCAATGTTCTTTTGGGGGGACAATTAAGTTTCACAACAACAGAGACACCCTCACAGTCATATAATATAACTATTTGAAATCAAGACGTAGATATATCTAAGGTACCGGATTATCAATTTGACGAAATTTTGATTATTGAGAAAGTGGTATCGGACAAAATTATGCCAAATAGAGCAGAGGCTTCGTTTATTTGCTGCATGACCAAAGCAAAGACTAGTTATTATTTACATAGTTATGTGCCTCAAATTTCATCACACTTATACAATTAAACCTGAAACTAATGCATAATGTTTCATTTGCATGTGAGAATGCTTCAATATCTGTCTCATTCTCGTAAAGCCTCTCCCAATCAATTTATACTCTTGCAATATGATAAAAAACAATCTTTATTATCGACTGATATGTGATATATGATGTAGATTAACGGATGTATCAATTCTAGGTATTTCGGCATCAATACTAATGAAGTAATTATCCAAGAATGGCACATGGTACATTATGTTCTGCGTTTTGCATGCCATGGATTGTTGAACAGTGCTATAAGCATCTCAGTTTCGATTTTCCGTTTATGTTCTACATATACACTTTTCAATTGCTTTTAATAATATTTTGATATTGCTATTACTATCATTTTGAACATCTGACAACTGATATTGTATGGACTTAAATTCGTTTTCATTGGGAATTCTTCCCAATCAAGTGTTCAAATAAGTAAAGCCAGATCAGTATCCTTATACATTAAATAGTAACTAGTAAAACATTATATTAAGCTTATTTAAAAGCTCTTTTACTGTGTTTGGTTGGGATTCTCCGAGAATAACATATATGGGATACAAAGACCATCATTTAACCTATTCTGATTTAAAAAAAATTCAGTTTTTTTTTGAAAAACCCCACGCTTTATTAAACCAATTTCTTTTATCGATCACTGCAAATGATAGGCAGGTCCGAATGGGTTTCAATTCAAAATGGCAATCAGTCAAAAATCGGACATGGCTCATCTAGATCAAATCGAATGATTTCGGCAAACTAGCAGCAATTCACACAAAGTGACCTAAAGCTCTATTTTAAAACCATGCAAATACTGACAACTTCAACAAAAAATACGGATTATCTAACATATCATTTTAAAACAGCAAAGACACTTAATCTTTGACTATTCATGTTCTTTATGAGGTTAGCATCCTAGAGTTTGTACTTATTCCTTCCGACATTTTTCGAAATTTGATTAATTGAAGTAATGTTTTGTTGTAAGAAATGATTCAGTGGTAAATATGCATGACCAATCTTTAGTTATCATTAAAATAACAGAAATGTGAAAATCGTAGGTGTTGCGTCAAATTTTGTTCAAGCATAGCTTACAAATGGGATGTATTTCTGCAAAATATGTGTGCAATTATGATCCCTTGTTCAGATATGCATCGAAAATATTTTCACAACTGGATGTGGGCCCATAAGGAAGATACTAATGGGATTTACTCTAAAATCACGTTCCATTTCCATTAACTCGAAGCGACTGTTCTTCTTCATGTGTTCATATGTGGGCAGCCAAATTTCGTTTTTGAAAGATTTTGCTTCTGCCATTTTCGTTTTTGATTGTCATTTCTCCTGAATGGGGCTGTTGGCGCCATACTAAACAAAAACTTTTACAGCTCATCCTGGTTCATACACTTCAAACTAATGATTTTCACTATTATGCGAATGTTCGTGAAAAACCCTATCAAAAATTGTTGAAAAACGCGTTCCACATACATGGCATATAATTGATTCATCTCGAGTATGGCAACGCATGTGTCTACGCAAGGAGGAATGCTGCGTGAACCTCATTCCGCATATTTTGCATTTGCATGGTCTTTCACCTGTATGAACACGGACGTGTCAATTCAAATGCGATTTATCTGCAAATCCTTTTTTACATTCACCACATGTATATGGTCTTTCACCTGCATGAACACGGACGTGTCTATTCAAATTTGATTTATCTGCAAATCCTTTATTACATACACCACATGTGTATGGTCTTTCACCTGTATGAACACGAACGTGTCTATTCAAATGCGATTTATCTGCAAATCCTTTATTACATTCACCACATATGTATGGTTTTTCTCCCGTATGAGTTCGCAAATGCACAGTCAAATCATATTTCCATTTGAATCCTTGTTTGCATACTCCACATTCGAAGGGCCTTTCTTCACTATGGGTACGCATATGGATAGTTAAATGTGATTGACTTCTAAATGTTTTTCCACATTCTCTGCNATATACCTTGAAGTGGTTTTGACATTTCCAAACATTTAATCTGATTATTTCACATATGTCTTGTGTCGAGACCATACTCTTGATTAGATCATTGTGTGAGGTGAGGCCTTCTTTTACTCCAGTTAGAATCTCACTTGCAACTTGCCGGTATTTAGGTAGAGGGTACAGGGTGTAACCTTGAAATTGGTAGTACTTCAGTTTTTCATCCAAAATGTTTGCTTCCATAATTGTGAAAATGTCTACATCATAGGTTTGTAGGATTTTCTGTATTTGGATCTTTTTGTCCGGAGACATTCCTCCAGCATTCCACTAGAGGATCTGAAGACGTTGTGATTCGCCTTGACGAGGGCGATTTCTCTTATAGCCTTGTTTCAAGTAAATCATAATAAATCGAAGTCAAATCAAATGCCGAGTGATAGACATAATAAATCGAAGTCAAATCAAATGCCGAGTGATAGACTTTTTTGCCGTACGAAGATACGTTGTCCAGGGTGCACCATGTGGAGGTAAGTCTATCGCGCAATAAAAATTAAATCTGTTTCGAGATGTGCATAAATCGGCCTATTTTAAGTGTAGTAAATACCCTTATTCAACAAATACGAACTCAAAAAAATCCAAAGGTCTTAGTCTTGCTTCTAAACTTTGGAACATTGAAATATTGTGCAGTGTGACCAAACTCCATATTTTTACTGAAATAAGACTCCTTTTTTATGAATAATTAATTTTCAGCTTTAATTTGACAAGCCATAAAATTTCTCCACTCCCCATTCGGGTCCACTACATTTTCCATTTTTAGCCACCTTACACCGTGGATTTCGGGGTATGCGGTAGACTTACTTCTACGTGGTGCATCCTGGGCAACGTATACTCATACGGTAAAGAAATCTATAAACCGGCAGTTGACTTCTTACTTCAAACTACCATCACCCCACTGTATGTCATATTCGACCCCTTTCACAGTACTCAACTTACCTTTTCTCTGCCTTTGTGTCTATCTGTCCCTTCAACATCTGTGAATTACTCTTCTGTTTCCCACTCCTCGACTTTCTGTTTCTTTGATGTTACTTCCCCCTTTAAGTCGGAAGTCAGCTAGAGGGCTAATGATAACTATCAAAACCCCTGCCGTTTGAAGTAAGTAAATAAATNCCACTTGCAACTTGCCGGTATTTAGATAGAAGGTACAGGGTGTAACCTGGGAATTGGTAGTACTTCAGTTTGTCATCCGAAATGTTAGCTTCCATAATTGTGAAAATGTCTACATCATAGGTTTGTAGGATTTTCTGTACTTGGATCTTTTTGTCCGGAGACATTCCTCCAGCATTCCAGTGTAGGATCTGAAGACGTCGTGATTCGCCCTGACGTGGGCGTTTTTTCTTATAGCCTTTTTTAAAGCTAATCATAATAAATTGAAGTCAAAAACGAATGCCGAGTGATAGACTTTTTTGCCGTAAGAAAATACGTTGTCCAGGGTGCACCACGTGGAGGTAAGTCTATCGCGCACCCCATTTAAGAAATATAATTGTGGTGATTATTAGTTTTGAAATTACCCGAATCATGGTGAGATGGATATCTTCTTGAATTTTCTACAAACAGAAGAAATTCAGTCATCAAGCATTAACTATGTAGTCTAATTACGATATACATCTTCTTATCAATCTTTTACGTTTGTTAAACAAAACACAAATACTCTTATTTTAATAATTCAATTTTTGCAATAGAAATAGGCTTAAGTAGATTAAAAATTAGTGAATTGAAATTCGACTGTTCCAGTGATAACAGGTGCAAAATTGAAATGCTTGAATTTAAAGATAGCTAATCAATTGATTTGTTAGCAATCTTTATCTCTCAAATTTAATATATATATATATATATATATATATATATATATATCTGATGAGCAGCGAAACAAGTTGTACTTGCCTAGGTTTTATTTTCGATTTTTTCTCCCGCCAACTATTTGCATTTTTATTTTTACTTCCCTGCAATGAGTTGTTTACACTTGCAGCGTCAGTGTAAAAGATTTGTCTGAGGTAAACACCATCGCCCTTTCTTTCTCAACAGCCTAAATATTATCTACGCAAATGGGTGACCACCTGAACATGAGGCGTTTACGGTATATCGATTTCCGAATCATCTCAATTGGAATATGGCTTCATTTTTCCCTCAATATTATTTATTGTCTGCTTCATATTCAGCTCCAAATTAATAGTTTCATAGTTATNAAGTTGGGACAATTTTGGGGTGGATTATAGACTGCATATACCTTGAAGTGGTTTTGACATTTCCAAACACTTAATCTGATTATTTCACATATGTCTTGTGTAGAGCCCATACTCTTGATTAGATCGTAGTATGAGGTGAGGCCTTCTTTTACTCCAGTTAGAATTCCACTTGCAACTTGCCGGAATTTGGGTAGAAGGGAATTGGTAGTTCTTCAGTTTGTCATCCGAGATGTTTACTTCCATAATTGTGAAAATGTCTACATCATAGGATTGTACGATTTTCTGGACTTGGATCTTTTTGTCCGGTGACATTCCTCCAGCATTCCACTGGAGGATCTGAAGACGTTGTGATTCATCCTGACAAGGGCGTTTATTCTTATAGCCTTTATCAAGCTAATCATAATAAATAGAAGTCAAATCAAATGTCGAGTGATAGAATTTTTATGCCGTACGAACAAACGCTGTCCAGGGTGCACCACGTAGAGGTAAGTCTATCGCGCATACATTATTCTGTGAATCAAGAGAAAATGATTTATAAATTCAGCAATAATCAAGACTTTGATATTGTAAAAACAATCGATTGCTTTGTTCTCTTTTAATTGAATTAAACACGGATTATGCAGGGCGTTTCATGTGAACCATTGCTTTATTTCGTCGTATTTTCCTGATTCCTGATAGTCATTTTATGCCTTTTAGTCAGTTGAATTTGGGCAGGTCAGACAATTAAGGCCAATGAAAAGAACCCTGAAAGTTACCGGGACAAAGCAGTAAATAAGCTGGTTACAATCGGTATACTTCAGTCAGAATTCGTGAACGAGGGAGCGATTTATTTCGCGATAAACACGCGAATAGGAGTCGATTTGCTCCACATTCTCACAAAGTCAAATTTAGAAGTCAGGGTTAGCAACAGTTGAAATGCAATTTATCATTGCAGACATAAGTACCCAAAGCGTAATCGATTAAGAGCCCAACTGAAAGCGTCTTTGTGTAAATTCTGCATGCACACAAGATAAGCACACACACACACACTTTATAAGTGAATATTTCACATTCTATTCAAACACCTTCCACTTCACTCAATTTTTTCCAGTCATACTGTTTAACCACTTTTGTCCATTCATAATAACTGCCAATTTCTTGCATTTTGAATGTCCATCTGTCTTCTTCTACACCTCCCCCTATCTTGTAGTCTTGTAGGTGACAGAAGGTTAAACTAATCTTAGGTG